CAGAGGGGACAGCGCCCGCACACGGTGGCCGAGGACACAGTCGGCATGAGGGCCTCATTGATGTTTCTAACTCTCTATCTCTCTCCCTTTTTCTCTGTAAAAAATCAATAAAATATATTTTTAAAAAATTGTATTGTTATATATCAATATGTTGAGGCACCATTTGTTGATATAATAATCCTATCTAATAATAGACAAAAACGGTAATTGACCATACCTGCGCTACGCCTCCCATTGGCTAATCAGCATGATATGCAAATTAACCGCCAACAAATATGGTGGGTTAATTTGCATACGTAGGCGCCCAGCGGCTATTGGCTATCGGAGCCTGCAATCAGAGCTGAGAGGTCCCCTGCCCAGGCCTGACGCCTCGGTCAGAAGCCTTAGGCCTGGGCATGGGCGGAGTCGCAATGGTGGGGAGCAGGGCGAGAGCAAGCGATGGTGGGGAGCAGGTGCAGAGCCTGCAATTACAGGGAGCTGGGGGTCCCCTGCTCAGGCTCAATGCCTGGGCCACAGGCATTAGGCCTGGTCAGGGGCAGAGCAGGAGATCGCGGAGAGCTGGGGGTCCCTTGCCCAGGCCTAACACCTTGGCCAGAGGCGTTAGGCCTGGGCAGGGGTGGAACCAGCCATTGCAGGGAGCAGGGGCGGAGTTGGCGATCGTACGGAGCTGGGGGTCCCCTGCCCAGGCCTAATGCCTTGGCCAGAGGCATTAGGACTGGGCAGGGGTGGAACTAGCCATCGCGGGGTGCGGGGTGGAGTCGGTGATCGTGGGGAGCTGGGGGTCCCCTACGCAGGCCTAACACCTTGGTCAGAGGCATTAGGCCTAGGCAGGGGCAGAGAGGGAGATTGCAGAGAGCTGGGGGTCCCTTGCTTAGGACTAACGCCTCGGACAGAGGCGTTACATCTGGGCAGGAGCGGTGCCAGTGATCACGTGTAGCAGGGGTGGAGCTGGCATTGGTGGGAGCTGGGGGTCCCCTGCCCAGGCCTAATGCCTTTGCCAGTGGCATTAG